TTTAACACGAGAGGCGCGGGTGGCGCTGTGGGTTAAACCACAGAGCCTAGGACTTGCCGATCGGAAGGTTGGCGGTTCGAAACCCCGCGATGGGGTGAGCTCCCGTTGTTCGGTCCCTGCTCCTGCCAACCTAGCAGTTCGAAAGCACGTCAAAGTGCAAGTAGATAAATAGGTACCGCTCCGGCGGGAAGGTAAACGGCGTTTCCGTGCGCTACTCTGGTTCGCCAGAAGCGGCTTAGTCATGCTGGCCACATGACCCGGAAGCTGTACACCGGCTCCCTTGGCCAATAAAGCGAGATGAGCGCCGCAATCCCAGAGTGGGCCACAACTGGACCTAATGGTCAGGGTCCCTTTACCTTTACCTTTTATGACTGTAAAAAACATCCAATTAACGTATCCAATCATAATCCAATTAAAATAAAAAACTAAAATAAAAAAGACCAAATTATCATCCAAATTATAATTATTAATTTGGGGCTTCCCACAGTCTGGAGCTTGAAGCATATCCAAATCTCAGATCTGCCTCTCCTCGTTGTTTCCATATTTTCCACATCTCGGTTTTAACGCTTTATTTTCACCCTTTCAAGACAGGTGAAAGGAAGGAGCTCTTCACAGAGATAGTTAAACTGTGGAACTCACTTCCACAGGAGGCAATAATGATCACCCACCTGGATGGCTTAAAAGAGAGGATTAGACAATGTTTCTGAATACCAGTTGCTGGAAACCACGAGGGAGCTCAGCCTACACTCGAGTAGGACCCTGGCAGAGACACAAGCCTGTCTGGCATGTTCTCTCCTTCCTGGTCAATCGTTCAGGAGCTTCAAAAGCTTTCTTCAGCCCGAACATCACAGCAACCGATGTTCAGACACCGGCACACTTAGGGATCCGCAGTTTGCGCATCTCGCGTAACAGACCTCAGCAACTCAGCATTTTGGCTAATCTACTTTATTTACATATAAACACACATGGAGCACTGCAACATGGCTCCCTCTCTCTTTAGCATCAGACAGCAAAGAGAAAAAGAACAAAGGACAATAGTCCTACTTCATGGAACACAGTACAGTGGTACCTCAGGTTAAGTACTTAATTCGTTCCGGAGGTCTGTTCTTAACCTGAAACTGTTCTTAACCTGAAGCACCACTTTAGTTAATGGGGCCCTCCTGCTGGGCTGCCCCCGCTGGCCGGAGCAGCGAATTCCTGTTTCTCATCCTGAAGCAAAGATTCTTAAACAGCTGAAGGCACTATTATCTTAGGGTTAGCGGAGGTCCTGTGAACCTGAAGCGTACTGTAACCTGAGGTACGACTGTACCCTCATGCTCTCCACCTCTTCAGGTTGTAAGTTCTGCAGGGCAGAGACTGTGCTTTCTGGTTAGCTATGGGCTCTTCGTTTCAGTACAGCTGAGATACCTCAGTAATAGTGCGCTTTGATGCCACAGATTCATGATGACAGCCCTATAGAAATTGCAGGTTGCGCCCAACCAAATTCTTCTCTAGACCCCCTGAATTAATCAGTGGGTCAACCTGGAATACAACTAGCATTGGAAACAGCCCTATATAGAAAATTTAACAGGAAGTATATAAAGGGCAGAGCTTGAACGGCCGTTTAATATATATATATATATATATATATATATATATATATATGGCATGATTTTATTTCTTATACAAATATTGAGGCATATGGTCATTCCATGTCCCTGGTATATGCAAATGTCTGGCTCATTGAAGAACCTTTCCTCTCAAGAACGATGGAACTCACAGGTGGAGAATGCTTGTATTTGAATCAATTTTTATTACAGTGGTACCTCAGGTTAAGTACTTAATTCGTTCTGGAGGTCCGTTCTTAACCTGAAACTGTTCTTAACCTGAAGCACCACTTTAGCTAATGGGGCCTCCTGCTGCTGCCGCACCGCCGGAGCACGATTTCTGTTCTCATCCTGAAGCAAAGTGCTTAATCTGAAGCACTATTTCTGGGTTAGCAGAGTCTGTAACCTGAAGCGTATGTAACCCGAGGTACTACTGTTATTTGTAAGGGAATACTTCACAAATATGAGTTAATACGTCGTACGTATCTTCGTACTTTTGTCCTTCCAGGCCGTGACACTTTACGGTTTTAATTTTTTTATTCTTTGTTTTATTCCTCTTTGCTACGTCTGTTAACAAACCAATAAACAAAAGGAGAGAAAAATTTAACCACGCGTGACGTCCGAAGTCCGCAACTCTTTGCAGCAGCTGGTCCACCTTTCAATGTGTTGCCTGGCTTCTTGCTCTGTAGGATCTGGCATGGGAAGAGAGTTTGCGCAGCAAGACAGGTTAGGCCTAACTCCAGCTGCTGCCTCTGACGCCCTTCCATTTCCCCTGCGGGCTCAGCTTTTGTGCGGAGACAATTTCTCAATGCCACACCCGAGGGAGCCATTGTGGTTTGTGGCCACTTTGCAGAGGCAGCAGCTGTGAGGCAGGTGCGTCCGAGTCCTATAAAGAGCTTTTGGGGAGGAGGGTGGAGCTGGGTCAAATCACAAAAGGATGCTCTCTCTTTTTCAAACACACTTGACTCCCTTTCGGGTCCCCACTCCGTATCAACCTGCTCTTACCGCCACCCTAGCGACAGTATTTATTTATTTAAACTCTCCAAGCCGGGCAATGGTTTCAGGCATCGAAGCCAGAGTCTCAACTGGGAGACCGCGCTAGGCCAAGACACAAGCCACACTTTGTAGCTAAAGCACCACGATACCACTTTAGAGCCATCCGAATTGGGGGCCGTCACAAAGAACTGTGGCAAGAGAAACGAATGGACTATGCAGACTGGGCAAAACTGACACCTAAATTACATGACAAGGATAACTGTGACTTTAAAGATGACTAGGAACCCTTTACAAAGTATTTAAAGAGACAACAAAGTGAATTGGGCTCCTTGGCAGGTGTTGAATAAACATCCACACACTTTTTATAGACAATATTTGGATAAATTAAGGATTCATACAATTTGGTAACTTGCAGAGAATAACGTATGTTGATAAACCAGAGAAAGGAGCTGAGGGAAGTCTGGGGAGGGAAGGGAGGGGGAAAATAAGGGGGGCGGAATTAAGGATGATATGTTTTTTGATAAAATGTTATGTTGAAATTCCTAATTAAAAATATTTTTAAAAAAACAAACAAACAAATTGGGGGCCGTCAGTTCCATAGCTGAACTGTGCGCTGTGTGAAATACTCAATAATAATAATAATTTATTATTTATACCCCGCCCATCTGGTTACAAGAAATGAGATTCTAACGAAACATCAAGAAAAAAGCTTTTTGACAGTAAGAGTTGTTCGACAGGGGACTGGTCTCCCTTCGGAGGTGATTAACTCTCCTTCCTTGGAGGTTTTTAAGCAGAGGTTGGGTGACCATCTGTCAGGGATGCTTTAGCTGAGAATCCTGCCTTGCAAGGGGTTGAACTGGATGATCCTTGAGGGTCCCTCCCCACACTACGGTTCTACGATTCTATCTGCCCTGAATCTTCACAGGGCGTCCACACGTTCTACGAGTTCCAAGAGGGAGAAAAACTTACTTCTATCCATTTTTCTCCATGCCATGCATCATTTCATAAGCGCCCATCGTATCACCTTTTGCTTTTTGTCTAAACTAAAGGTAAAGGGACCCCTGACCATTAGATCCAGTCGTGGCCATCTCTGGGGTTGTGGCACTCATCTCGCTTTACTGGCCGAGGGAGCCAGCATACAGCTTCTGAGTCACGTGGCCAGCATGACTAAGCCGCTTCTGGCGAACCAGAGCAGTGCACGGAAACGCCGTTTACCTTCCCGCCAGAGTGGTACCTATTTATCTACTTGCACTTCACTTTGATGTGCTTTCGAACTGCTAGGTTGGCAGGAGAAGGGACCGAGCAACGGGAGCTCACTCCGTCGCGGGGATTCGAACCGCTGACCTTCTGATCGGCAAGTCCTAGGCTCTAACTCACAGCGCCACCCGCGTCCCGCTAAACTAAGGAGTCCCAAATGCTGCTACCTTTCCTCATAAGGGAAGTTTCCTTATGGTTCCTTGCTTCTCTCTCTAGCTGGGATAGCTCAGTTGGTAGAGCAGGAGTTCAAGCCCCACATTGGGTCAAAAGATTCCTGCGTTGTGGGGGGTTGGGCTAGATGACCTTTGGGATCCCTTCCAGTTCTAGAATTTGATTATATTCGATGATAAGTATGCAAAATCTTGGCAGGGAATTTCAAGAGGGGAAGGCTGTGCCGGACCACCTTTGAACTACAGTGGTACCTCGGGTTAAGAACTTAATTCGTTCCAGAGGTCCGTTCTGAACCTGAAACTGTTCTTAACCTGAAGCACCACTTTAGCTAATGGGGCCTCCTGCTGCCGCCCGGCCGGCGGAGCACGATTTCTGTTTTCATCCTGAAGCAAAGTTCTTAACCTGAAGCACTATTTCTGGGTTAGCGGAGTCTCTAAATCTGAAGCGTATGTAACCTGAAGCGTATGCAACCTGAGGTACCACTGTATCTGGAGCAACTTTGGGGGAAATAGAAGCAGGGCGGCTTATGGCTTGGGAGCTGCTGGGAAAACCGCTGGGCTGTCCACAGCCCAGCCTCCCACAATACCCCAGGGGTAAAGGTAAAGGGACCCCAGACTGTTTAGTCCAGTCGCGAATGACTCTGGGGTTGCGGCGCTCATCTCACTTTATTGGCCAAGGGAGCTGGCGTACAGCTTCCAGGTCATGTGGCCAGCAGGACTAAGCCGCTTCTGGCGAACCAGAGCAGCACACGGAAACACCATTTACCTTCCTGCTAGAGCGGTACCTATTTATCTACTTGCACTTTGACATGCTTTGGAACTGCTAGGTTGGCAGGTGCTGGGACCGAGCAACGGGAGCTCACCCCGTCGCGGGGATTCGAACCGCCGACCTTCTGATCGGCAAGCCCTAGGCTCTGTGGTTTAGACCACAGCGCCACCCGCATCCCAGGGGACGCAGCATGCCAAAAACCATCACTGCCAGAAGCCAACAGACGTTTTCATTAGCGATTTTTATTGGGCGAATGTCTTCTCTGTTCCGTCGACGGTTCTGATCAATGTACCCCGCTTCCCCACCAACGAAATACAATAGAGGTTAAGACAATAGAGGAAGCCGCTAACCGGAGTCTGGATGAGGGGGAAATGGCAGGAACTTCAGGGAAGGGCAAAGTCACATGTTGGGACTTCACAGCCAGCCTTTTCTGGAAGCGCTCTGGGTCCACGAATATCACTTTGGGAAGGACGGCTCATATTCCCCTCTACCCTGAAGAGGTGAGCTCTCTCTCTCCACAGTGCCCAGTTTGGGCTAAGGTCACCTCGCTGGCATTTCAGGCCCCCCGCCCCAGTCCAAAGTCACCCACCCCACCCACAAGGTAGCGTCACTATTCAAGCGCTCATCCTTCCTTCCTCTCCTGGGTCTCTGGACTTCTTGATCCTCTCCGATTTTCCAAGGCACCCCAGGATTTGGGGGGTGTTCAGTGTCTTTTGGGCTGGTTTGGGCCGATGTATTTCAGCGGAGTGTAGCTGGGCTTGCCGATGATCTCTGTGCCCATCAGCGGCTGGAGGACGTCTGGTACCCGAACGCTGCCATCCTACAGAGGAGGGACAAAGGTAGAGGAGGGGGTTTGAGGACCCTGTGCCGGCCACCTTCTGCCCTCTGCAGAACCGCCCTGGTTATTCTGTGAACCGCCCTGAGACCTCTGGGTATAGGGCGGTCTATAAAATCAATAAATAACAAGAATACAGTGGACACTCAGGTTGCAAGCGTGATCCATGCGGAATGCACGTTCGCAACCTGCAGCGTTCGGAATCCGCATGGCGCATCTGTGCATGGGCAGGTTGCGATTTGGCACTTCTGCGCAAAGCGCAATTTAGTGCTTCCGGCTTCCAGCGGGTCTGTAACCCGAAAAAACGCAACCTGAAGCGTCTGTAACCTGAGGTATGACTGTAACAACACGGCGTCAAACAAAACCCACACCAAACTTGTTTCTAACCCCGGTGCTGTACTGGCTCCCGGCAGAGTACAGGATCAGGTTTAAGGTGCCTGTTTTAACCAGCCCTATACGGCCTAGGACCCTCGTACCTATAGGACTGCCTCTCCTGGTATGTCTCACGGAGGACCTGATGGTCTTCAAACAAAAACAACTCAGAGATCCCGGGCCACAGGGAGGTTAGGCTGGCCTCAACCAGAGCCAGGGCTTTTTTGGCCGTGGCCCCGATCTGGTGGAACGCTACAGCCATTGGGACCAGCAGCCGCCAACAGCCCTCTCCTCCCTGAATTTGTCTTAAAGTCATCCAAGTTGGCGGCCCTCCCTACCTCTTGTGGCAGCAAATCCCGTAATTTAAACATACTCTGGGCGAAGAGGTCCTTGCTGGGGGGGGGGGGGGCGATCCTGCCGCTGGGCTGGAGGTGGGCCCTCCCTGCCGTGTACAGAGCCCAGCCTAAAGTGGAGCACGCTCTGGTTATCTCCCGCTTGGACTACTGCCATTCGCTCTACGTGAGGCTACCTTTGAAGGTGACCCGGAAACTACAACTAATCCAGAATGCGGCAGCTAGACTGGGGACTGGGAGCGGCTGCCAAGACCTTATACACTGGCCCTGAAAGACCTGTATTGGCTCCCAGTACGTTTCCGAGCACAATTCAAAGTGTTGGTGCTGACCTTCAAAGCCCTAAACGGCCTCGGTCCAGTATACCTGAAGGAGCGTCTCCACCCCCATTGTTCTGCCCGGAAACTGAGGTCCAGCTCTGAGGGCCTTCTGGCGGTTCTCCCGCTGCGAGAAGCCAAGTTACAGGGAACCAGGCAGAGGGCCTTCTTGGTGGTGGCGCCCGCCCTGTGGAACGCCCTCCCATCAGATGTCAAGGAGATAAACATCTACCTGACTTTTAGAAGACATCTGAAGACAGCCCTGTTCAGGGAAGTTTTTAATATTTGATGTTTTATCGTGTTTTTAATATTCTTTTGGGAGCCGCCCAGAGTGGCTGGGGAAACCCAGCCAGATGAGTGGGTTATAAATAACAGATGATGATGATGATGATGATGATGGCAACGAACCTTCAGCTGGTTGGATTCCAGGAGGGCAATCAGCATCCGGGGAACAGCGCAGGCTGTGCCGTTGACCTGCAAAGAACAGACAGTTGTGCTGAGACGCTGGAGGCCCCCAGTGTGGCATCGGGTTCAAGAGGGGGAAAAAGCACAGGTTATCGACACCTGGGCTCTCCTTCTCCCCACCCATCCCTGTATCTCAGGCCACAGGCCCGGGGCCCAGCTTACCGTGTGCGCATAAGACAGACGGCCTTCCTGGTTGTAGTACATGATGTTCAGCCGGCGGCTCTGATAGTCTGTGCAGTTGGAGGCGCTGGAGATCTAGCAGGGGAAACGAAGGGCAGTCATATAACTGGCCAACAAACAACACAAACAACACAAACAACACAAGCAACACGATGACCAGTATACTAGATAGCACTGCAATTCTTATTGCATAATATACATAATTTAGTACAACAAAAACAAAATGTGTACACTTGTAAATTCTCTAATGTATCTGAAATCAAATGAACACACATCTGTCAATCTTTGAAAGTCCATAGAAGTATAATAAGTCTATAGCTGAAACAAAGTAATAGATGCTATCCTGTGGGCTAAAACTTTTTAGGTGTTCAGGTGCCGAAGTTGTTGTTTAGTCGTTTAGTCGTGTCCGACACTTCGTGACCCCCTGGACCAGAGCACGCCAGGCACTCCTGTCTTCCACTGCCTCAAACTCATGCTGGTAGCTTCGAGAGCACTGTCCCACCATCTCCTCCTCTGTCGTCCCCTTCTCCTTGTGCCCTCCATCTTTCCCAACATCAGGGTCTTTTCCAGGGAGTCTTCTCTTCTCATGAGGTGGCCAAAGTATTGGAGCCTCAGCTTCACGATCTGTCCTTCCAGTGAGCACTCAGGGCTGATTTCCTTCAGAATGGAGAGGTTTGATCTTCTTGCAGTCCATGGGACTCTCAAGAGTCTCCTCCGGCACCAGAATTCAAAAGCATCCATTCTTCGGCGATCAGCCTTCTTTATGGTCCAGCTCTCACCTCCATACATCACTACTGGGAAAACCATAGCTTTAACTATACGGACCTTTGTTGGCAAGGTGATGCCAACTTACTAGAGACAAGTGAATAACAACGTAGGACAGTGATCCCAGATAATCTGACTGTTTTGCTGGAATCTTCTTCAGCACAACCCATAGATTAGTAAAATGCACAAGGAGCAGTGGTCATAAGGATATGTAACCACTGCTCAGGGGTTTGTTGTTACATAAATGGCCAAGGCAGAAGTTGCGTTGGGAGCCCTTGGGGCAGATCTCAGAAATGATTGTAGATATGAGAGTCAGATTTTGTCATCATCAAATGATATACAATGAATTGAAAAGGATGTTCAAAATATCTTTTATAAAAATCAACAACCCAGAAGTTTTTCTTTTGGGAATTATAGGGCCAGAACTACCTAAATTGTATAGAAATTTATTTATGTATGCCACTACAGCAGCAAGAATGCTACTCGTCCCAAAATGGAAAGAAGCAGAAGTCCCAGCAAAGGAAGAATGGATACAAAAACTTATGGGACATGCAGAAATGGTGACACTTACCAGAAGAATAAGAAATCAAGATAACAAACTTAGAACGGAAATGGTTCATTGAATATTTACAGATAAACTGTAAACAGATAAAAACATTAGCAGGATTGTTGTAATAACCTGCAGTTCTCTAAGAGTATATCTTTAAGTAGATATAGTTAACTTAAAAATTTAATTAAGTTAAATGAATTTGGGTATGCAGAAGATATGAAAAAGTAAATTTAAGGAACCGCAGAAAAGAGTGGGAAGTTTTGAAATGTGAAATGGATGGTAAAATTAATGAAATGTATGAATTTGAAAAGTATAAATAAAAAACTAAAAAAAAAGAGAGAGTCGGATTTTGGTATGGTCAAAGGGGGGAACAGGACCCTCTTGGTGGCCCCACCACCCTCAGAATTAAAGGGGGAGAGTTTTGCAGAAAAGGGAGGGAGGGGAAAGTCTCTAGACTGTGAAGACAATACTAAGCTAGACGGATCCACAGTCCGATTTCCTACATTCACGTGTTCTTCTTATCCTTCTGCGCCAATTCTCTACAGAAGGAGATTGAGAAGGATCTACTGGTCTCTCCCCAGGGCTTCTTCCACCTTGGGGTTGGGTTGGCCCTTGGACTAGAGATTCAGGAGCGAGCGGACTCTGCCCCCACTCACCTCTCCATACTTGTCCCGGCCGGGCATCCAGGCCTCAATGTCGAATTTCCTGTATGCAGGTAGGCCCAGTTCCTGTGTGGGCATATCCAGGACCCTATGGGTAAAGAGAAATCGGGATCAGATGCGTAACGGCGGCCGTGAAAGTTGGCCACAACCTGATTGGCCTTCTCTAACCAGGTCTTGCTGCCTGAGAATTGCTAAGTAAATAAGTGAGATTGCCTTTTTGGGCCTTATTTCATAGAACTCATACACCGCTGGACTGAAAACAAGCAAGCAAACCCTCAAAGCCATTTACAAAAGATAAAACAGCAAACTAAAGAAAAAGTTGCAATAGTTTAAAGCACAGAAAAGTTAAAATACAGTGGTACCTCGGGTTACATACGCTTCAGGTTACATACGCTTCAGGTTACAGACTCCGCTAACCCAGAAATAGTGCATCAGGTTAAGAACTTTGCTTCAGGATGAGAACAGAAATCGTGCTCCGGCGGCACAGCAGCAGCGGGAGGCCCCATCAGCTAAAGTGGTGCTTCAGGTTAAGAACAGTTTCAGCACGGACCTCCGGAACGAATTAAGTACTTAACTCGAGGTACCACTGTACAGAAACAGATTAAAATGACCTCAACTTTCTGAGCATCTTGTAGGTACAGTGGTACCTCGGGTTAAGAACTTAATTCGTTCTGGAGGTCCATTCTTAACCTGAAACTGTTCTTAACCTGAAGCACCACTTTAGCTAATGGGGCCTCCCGCTGCTGCCACACAATTTCTGTTCTCATCCTGAAGCAAAGTTCTTAACCCGAGGTACTATTTCTGGATTAGCGTGGTCTGTAACCTGAAGCGTCTGTAACCCGAGGTACCACTGTAAACTGTACTGAGCTGTTAAAAGCTTTATGCGCTATTAGTAACACCTCGAATTGGGCCTGGCAGCAAATCGGCAGCCAGCGCAGGTCTCTGAGCACAGGCGTGATAGGCTGGCGAGTTGTCACTCCTGTCAGCAATTGTGCTGCAGCATTCTGATGTTCCCTGGACGTTGCTTTGCTTTGTTAGTACAGTGGTACCTCTGGTTGCGAACGGGATCCGATCTGCAGCCCCGTTCGCAACCTGCAAAGAATGCAACCTGCACCTGCACAGGTTGCAATTCGCCACTTCTGCGCATGACATCATTTTGCGCGTCTGCGCATGCGCGAGTGGCGAAACCCGGAAGTAACCCTTTCCGGTACTTCCGGGTCGCCGCAGGACGCAACCTGAAAAAACATATCATGAAGCAAACGTAACAAGAAGTATGACTGTACTATTGCCTAGAATGTTATTTCTGTTTCAGACCTTGCAGATTCTTGACAAGATGGAATGTTTCAAGAGGTGGCAGAAAGATATTTCGAAATTTGTTTGGCAGGGCAAAAAGCCCAGAATTAAATTTAAAATATTGACAGATGCTAAAGAAAGAGGGGGGTTTGCCCTGCCGGACTTAAAATTGTACTATGAGGCAGCAGCTTTTTGCTGGCTGAAGGAATGGATGCTCCTCGAGAACACAGACATCTTGGATCTGGAAGGTTTTAATAATGTTTTTGGTTGGCATGCATATCTATGGTATGACAAAATTAAGCAGCATAGCGCCTTTAAAAATCACATTGTTAGAAAAGCACTGTTTAATGTATGGATGAGATATAAAGATCTGTTGGAAAACAAAACCCCTAGATGGGTGTCACCAGTCGAGGCTAAAGCAGTAAAGAAACTCAATATGGAGGTCGGATGGCCGAAGTATTGGGAAATTTTGGAACAGGATGGAGATAAGTGGAAATTACAAAGCTATGACAAATTGAAGGATAAAGTACAAAACTGGCTTCAATACTACCAAGTAATGGAGCTTTTCAAACAGGACAGGAAAATTGGCTTTCAAGTGGATAAATCAAAACTAGAGATTGAACTGTTAGAACCCAACACTAAGAATTTATCAAGAATGTATAACTTGTTGTTGAAATGGAATACACAGGATGAAACGGTGAAATCAGCCATGATTAAATGGGCACAAGACATTGGTCATGACATTATGTTTGCTGACTGGGAACAGTTATGGACCACCGGTGTTAAGTTTACGGCATGTAATGCCTTAAGAGAAAACATAATGAAAATGATTTACAGGTGGTACATGACCCCAGTCAAGCTGGCAAAAATTTATCATCTGCCCGATAACAAATGTTGGAAGTGTAAAGAGACTGAAGGTACCTTCTACCACCTTTGGTGGACATGCCCGAAGATTAAGGCCTTCTGGGAAATGATCTATAATGAAATCAAAAAGGTACTTAAATGTACCTTCTCTAAAAAACCAGAGGCCTTTCTCTTGGGCATTGTCGGCCAATTGGTGACAAAGAGGGATAGAACTTTCTTTATGTACGCTACAACAGCAGCAAGAATACTCATCGCAAAGTATTGGAAGACTCAAGATCTACCCACTCTGGAAGAATGGCAGATGAAAGTGATGGACTATATGACATTGGCCGAGATGACAGGCAGAATCCGTGACCAACGAAAAGAGACGGTGGAAGAAGAATGGAGAAAATTTAAAAGTTATCTTAAGGACTACTATAAACTTAATGAATGCTAAAATGTTGTGGTTTCCAGAAACAAAGGGATACAGGGATATAAGGTTAGAAATATAAAAAAGGACTAAGAAGACAGAGATTGGAAAATAACAATTGGGAGTTGCTAGTTGAACTATGGACACTGGGATGCAGAGAGGGGGGGTATGGGGAAGTCAAAGGAAAGAGGTTTATGAAAATATGTTTGAAACTATACGTGTATGTTTGTCATTTTTGGTGTTTGTTTGTTTTTTGTTTAAAAAAGTTTCTAAAACCAATAAAAATTTTATAAAAAAAAAAGAAGTATGACTGTACTGTATTTCAAACATGCCTAAGTATACCCTCTAGGGACATGGGTGGCGCTGTGGGTTAAACCCCAGAGCCTAGGACTTGCCGATCAGAAGGTCGGCGGTTCGAATCCCCGTGACGGGGTGAGCTCCTGTTGCTCGGTCCCTGCTCCTGCCAACCTAGCAGTTCAAAGTGCAAGTAGATAAATAGGTACCGCTCCGGCGGGAAGGTAAACGGCGTTTCCGTGCACTGCTGTTTCGCCAGAAGCGGCTTAGTCATGCTGGCCACATGACCCGGAAGTTGTACGCCGGCTCCCTCAGCCAATAAAGCGAGATGAGCGTCGCAACCCCAGAGTCGGCCATGACTGGACCTAATGGTCAGGGGTCCCTTTACCTTTAAGTATACCCTCTAAGTTGGGTTCGGGATGCAACCAGACATGTCTCTGCTGGCTGGCCTAGCAGCCCTCTTTCCCCCTCCTCAACGATCACACCCCCACGTCCCCAGCAGCCAACGGTGAGCAGGGGTCCCTCAGCCACCCCCCTCCCCAACTCCCCCCTCGCGAATTCCTACTTGTAGTGAAGTCCCAGCTCAGAGAAGATCTCCTTCTGCACGGCCAGGAATTCGTCCAGCAGGGCCTCACTTTCGAACCCCGTCTCGTTGGCAGTGACCCCAAACATTTCCACCTGGATTGTGGAGAGAGAGTGTATGATTATAGAGCTGTCCCTTTTATGAAGAGGCACGTAGTGAAACCATTGATTCCCTGCTGGTGAGGCTCGCTGACCTCCTGGATTAGCAAAAATCCGACCTTTTCCTGTTAGGCAAAGATCAGAAGACGACCCAGATGGTCGCCAGATTCTGTGTACAGATCTGTAGGCGCAGACCATCTCCCAACTAGTTCGTTAAGAAAATCCCCAAACTCTGTTCTATGAGTGACTCGGGGTCAGCTCCCTGCGGTAGTTTATTGCTGTGCATTGTTTTTAAATTTATTGTTGTACATTGTTTTAATTGTTTGTTTTCCTTCTGTGACTGTACCCCCAAGTGTGTTTTATAAGCTGGTCTCCGACAGTAATAAATTATCTACAGGGGTGCCTCGCAAGACGAAATTAATTCGTTCCGCGAGTTTTGTCGCCTTGCCGTTTTTTTCGTCTTGCGAAGCACGGTGTCGGGAAAGTTTTGGAAAAGCTTCAAAAATCACCAAAGTCTTCAAAAACCTCAAAAAAGGCTACCACACCGCGTTCTATGAGTTGCTCCTCGAAGTCAAGTCGCAACTGTATTAACGGTGTTAAGAAAAAGGAAACAAACTTGCAAGACGTTTCCGTCTTGCGAAGCAAGCCCCTAGGGAAAATCGTCTTGCGAAGCAGCTCAAAAAACAAAAAAACCCTTTCGTCTAGCGAGTTTTCCGTCTTGCGAGGCATTCGTCTTGCGAGGTACCTATCTATCTATCTATCTATCTATCTATCTATCTATCTATCTATCTATCTCTATCTATCTATATCTATCTATCTATCTATCTATCTAATAGAGATCTGTTAGCCAAAGGGAGAGGAAAGAGTAGCTGCAGGAAGGGAGAAGAAAAGGAAGACACGGTTCTCCCCCTCCCCAATTAATCCCCACGCCAGCCCTGAGAGGTAGGTTAGGCTGAGAGTGACTGACTGGCCCAAGGTCTCACCCACTGAGCTCTGGGGCAAGTGGGGATTTGAACTCGGGTCTATCCCAGGTCCTAGTTCAGCACTCTAACCACCACACAACACCAGCTTGTGGGGGTGCAAATATCCAGAGTGTGGGGGGGGGGTCAGGTGGGATTGCTATGAGGAATTATGAAAATCTGGAGAAAGCCATTGTGTCCGCGATGAAAGCATTGAATTGACTGGGTTTGATTCATTGACAATAGTTTCTGATCGAATCCCACAAGCCTCCATTTGCTTTCTCTACGCCTGACAGGCACGTATAAGCATTCTAAATACACAGGCCGGTTGCTTCCCCAGGCATCCTGGGTCATAAAATAGAAAGTAGCTTTGATGTAGTTTGTTAATCTTTAGATATATCTTAAGGGCCAGGAAGAGAGTTCACAAGGAGATGGTAAATACTGCCATCGTTCCTCTCCTGTTTATGACCTCTGGGGTTTTGCTGAATGCATTCCTCTAGTCCTGTTTTATTTACCCCAGAATGTATGCATGTTTAAATTAGCTCTTTGTAGTTTTAACTTTAACTTTGTCCCCGCGTGGGGTTTTTTTGAAATGCTCAAAGGAAATCTGATTGGTTCTTACGGACACTGTTTAAAATGTTCTTTTGTGAATAAAACGACCTGGGCTGAGGGGCGGACAGGATTATTATTGGCACCCCTCTCAGAGTCTTGCTGGTCAAGCCTCGTGTGTATTTTATTAATCAGAGTCCAATCCTTCCTTGCTTTTGGGATCGCTACACCAGCTCTCCACTTACCCTGCAGGAAGCATTCCAAAGCCCCATGTAAACTTTGCGTGCCTCTTGCAATGCACCTCTTATGAATGCCAGCGCTGAAGCTCACACATCCAACAGTGTGACGCGGCAGCTAAAAAAGCCAATGCAATTCTGGGCTGCATCAATAGGAGTATAGCATCTAGACCAAGGGAAGTAATAGTGCCACTGTATTCTGCTCTGGTCAGACCTCACCTGGAGTACTGTGTCCAGTTCTGGGCACCACAGTTCAAGAAGGACACTGACAAACTGGAACGTGTCCAGAGGAGGGCAACCAAAATGGTCAAAGGCCTGGAAACGATGCCTTATGAGGAACGGCTAAGGGAGCTGGGCATGTTTAGCCTGGAGAAGAGGAGGTTAAGGGGTGATATGATAGCCATGTTCAAATATATAAAAGGATGTCATATAGAGGAGGGAGAAAGGTTGTTTTCTGCTGCTCCAGAGAAGCGGACACGGATCAATGGATCCAAACTACAAGAAAGAAGATTCCACCTAAACATTAGGAAGAACTTCCTGACAGTAAGAGCTGTTCGACAGTGGAATTTGCTACCAAGGAGTGTGGTGGAGTCTCCTTCTTTGGAGGTCTTTAAGCAGAGGCTTGACAACCATATGTCAGGAGTGCTCTGATGGTGTTTCCTGCTTGGCAGGGGGTTGGACTCGATGGCCCTTGTGGTCTATTCCAACTCTATGATTCTATGATTCTACATCCCTTCAAGAAAGCTAAGATCACCTGCGCCCTCTGGCCTTCTGCTTTTTCAATGAGAACGGGCTATCTTTGCAATGCTGAGGACTAGAAACTTGCATCGTTTGAAGCGAAAAGCAAGAGAGACTCGGGATGAGTCCGATTAACAGATCCCATGCATTTGCTGTGCTTGTGTCGAACTGAACAACACACTTGATGTGCCATTAGCATCTGTTAAGGTCTCAAATTTCTCTTCGAGCTCCACCCCAAAAAACCTCAGGATGTAATAATAATAATAAAATAAAAATATTATTTATACCCCGCCCATCTGCCTGGGTTTCCCCAGCCACTCTGGGCAGCTCCCAACCGAATATTAAAAACACAATACAGCTTTAAACATTAAAAACTTCCCTGTAGGGGGCTGCCTTCAGATATTTTTTAAAAATCAGATAGTTGTTTATTTCCTTGACATCTGGTGGGAGGGCGTTCCACAGGGCGGGCGCCACCACCGAGAAGGCCCTCTGCCTGGTTCCCTGTAACTTGACTTCTCGCAGGGAGGGAACCGCCAGAAGGCCCTCGGAGCTGGACCTCAGGCCGAACGATGGGCGTGGAGATGCTCCTTCAGGTATACAGGACCGAGGCCTATGCTGCAGACCCTGCCCCTTCTCCCCACCTCCAACGGCGCCACACCTCGAGCGCACGTCGTCCTCACCTTGGTGAACTGGTGCACTCGATACAGTCCCCACGACTCATGGCGAGTTTCTGTTTCCGCCCTGTAGCACGTGCTGACACACGCTGTTCTGGCCGAGGCAGAAGAAGAGACAGAAGGGCTGGTGAGCTCAGTGGTCAAGAGGAATTGTGCAGAGGGGTCTGTGGGTGGGTGCACATCGCAATTCCACGGGAGGGGCAGTGTTACGGAAATTACTTGGGGGGGCATGTCTTTAAAGTTAAATATTACAAATATTATGCCTGAATGTATCCTTTCAATTTGACAGCTCAGGGAAGTTACCATATTTTTTGCTCTATAAGACGCACCAGACCCCAAGACGCACCTAGTTTTTGGAAGAGGAAAACAAGAAAAAATATATTCTGAATCTCAGAAGCCAGAACAGCAAGAGGATTACTGCGCAGCGAAAGCAGCGATCCCTCTTGCTGTTCTGGCTTCTGGGATAGCTGCGCAGCCTGCATTCGCTTCATAAGATGCACACACATTTCCCCTTACTTTTTAGGAGGGGAAAAGTGAGTCTTATAGAGCAAAAAATACGGTACCTAGCTTAAAAAATAATATAAAATCATCTCCTTTCCCAGTTTCCTCCATCCCAAAGCTATTTTCACCTTGAAAAAGGCCTCCAGGAAGTTCCCAGGGGTGAAAATTGCTGGGCTCATTGTTAGCCAAAGGAAGCCAAATCTCATCACCTGACTCGCCTCAGGCTCCAGACATGCAAAGGAACTTCTATTGTACTTTTGGGTGGTGGGTACTTAAAACATATTTGCCTATGCTAATCTTATACCTGAGTCTTGCCCTGCCATGTCTGCTTATGCTAATCTTGTACCAAGGACTTGTCTGGACATCGTTTGCCAAGGTTAATCCTCCCCTTTTGTGACATGTCGGTGATGTAGCAATGATGCTGTACGAACTGTATTCTGGGATATGGTGGGAAAGTTTTAAAAAGTCTTTCTCACCCCATCCTCGGGGTTCAAAATTTGCTCTTTGAACCTATTGCGCCATAAACTTTGGTCTACAGCTATTTGCTCCGGTTGGCAGGACTCCTTCCTTTATTCCGCAGGGACCCGCGGGCTCTGCCTGACGAGCTGGGTGACTGAGCAGCCTCACACCTAGATTTTTCCGTAACAGCAGAAAACCTTAAAAGGATGGAACGAATAGTTGGCTCCCTAATGGGGGGGGCGCGAACCCCTCAACTTTCTTTTAAATGATCCAGATTGTTGTAGTGATCAGGTGGGATTGCTACGAGGAATTATAACAAATATAGAGTAAGCCATCAGTGTCAGCAATGAAAGCATTGCGTTGATTGGGTTTAAACTATTTTGATATGATTCTTGATCAATCCACACCTCTGCATCCCTGTTCTATTTCTCTTTCTTGACAAGTCACATACCCACTTAGACAGGCAGGCATCCTGGGTCAGCAAAGACAGTGGGCAGTTTCTTTGATGTAGCTTTTCTGATGTTAATCTGAGGATGTTAATCTTAGGACCAGGAAACAGATCTCACCTGAAGGTGATAATGATCGCTGTCTTCCTGGCCATCCTTCTTATCATGTACAGTATTTTTCGCCCCATAGGGCGAAAAATTTCCCCCCCAGGTGCGCTGCGCTAAGCCCGAAGCTTGGGGCGTGCGGAGCTCAGCGCACCCCAAGCTTCTGGGTGCTGGCAAGGTCTCCGCTAGCCATGGGAGAGCCGCGCGAATTCGTGCGAAAGCTTGGGGCGTGCGGAGCTCAGCGTGCCCCAAGCTTCTGGGTGCAGGCAAGCTCTCCGCTAGCCCTGGGAGAGCTGGGTCTCCCACGGCTAGCGGATAGCTTCCTGAAGCCTGGAGAGCGAGAGGGGTCGGTGCGCACCGACCCCCTCGCTCTCCAGGCTTCAGCGAAAGCCTGCATTCGCCCCATAGGACGCACACACATTTCCCCTTCATTTTTGGAGGGGGAAAAGTGCGTCTTATAGGGCAAAAAATACGGTATATTGCTTGGGGTTGCCAAATGCACTCCTTTGTTGTTCTGTTTTGTTTACCCCAGAAATATGCGTGCTTAATTAGTTTTGGTAGTTTAACTTTGTCCCCACGTGGGGTCTGTTGAAATGCTCAGAAGAAATCTGATTGGTTCTTACGAACACTCTGTAAAAAGTTCTTTTGTGAATGAAACGACCTGGGCCAGAGGGTGGAGACAGATTACCACATTTTTCGCTCTATCAGACGCACCAGACCACAAGACGCACCTAGTTTTTGGAGGAGGAAAACAAGAAAAAAATATTCTGAATCTCAGAAGCCAGAACAGCAAGAGGGATCGCTGCGCAGTGAAAGCAGCAATCCCTCTCCCTGTTCTGGCTTCTGGGATAGCTGCGCAGCCTGCATTCGCTCCATAAGACGCACACACATTTCCCCTTACATTGACAAGGTGGGCAGAAAGTCTCACCTGACGGGGGTGTCTTTCAGATTCACCGCATGATCCATGAAGTACCCTAGTAGGAAGAGAAGGCGGTGGGAATGGATTTGAGTGAAGAAATTGGGGCACGATTCCTTAGTTCCTTTGCCCCAGTCGCACTCGCCAACCCCACCCCTTCTAACGTACATTTTTCAACCAGGGATGAAGAAGGAACTATCAATAACGTTTCAAAAGAGTTTTGTTTCTACATTTTATGTGCATCTTGCCTCTCTCTCTTTCTTGGGTATAAGAGCAGAGTTTTGTTAATACAAGTGTCTCCCCACTGGGCGATATCTGGTTTTCAACATCACGATATATCACCAGCTAAACATTGTGATAGACTGAGATATTGTGACATCTGAAAGAAGGATGGAGCTTTGCAAAGGCACTGGCTGGCTTCACGGTTTTTCCCACAATGTGATTTTTGTATAGCACACACACACACACACACACACACACACACACACACCATGATTCGTAACATGATTTTGCCAGGTCCAAAACTACGAAGCCAATATCACGATACGGACTTCAAACCGATCGATACGTATCGATACATCGCCCAGCCCTACTCCCCACTTTTACACGTGACCGCGTATACACACAGCGCCAGCAAATACTTAAATAAATTGATTTAATCAATTTTAAAGGCCTGGAAAGAGCAGGAAATCTGCAAAAAAGGCACAAAAAGACTTGGAAAACAGCCTTTGCACCAACCTTTGAGGCCTGTGGAGAGTTGGGAGTCTGAGAAAGGAGATTTGGAGGGAGCGATTGGGGTGGAATTTGGTGGATTTTTTTGTTTTTAAAAGGGTTTTTCAAGAATTTTCATGGGCTAGAGGGTATTCCCCGCTGTATGTGATTTCACGGTTATGCCCAGTACCTGGGAACATAACCCCCGTGTCAGAGTGGGAGTCGCCTATGGTGTTTTATAGAAGGTGGCTGTTTTACCGATGATTTGTATTTGTTTTGCTGGCGATTTGTTAATTATTCTATATGGCTCATGAGCTGGACCATCAAGAAGGCTGATCGCCAAAGAATTGATGCTTTTGAATTCTGGTGCTGGAGGAGACTCTTGAGAGTCCCATGGACTGCAAGATCAAACCGATCCATTCTGAAGGAAATCAGTGCCCTGAGTGCTCACTGGAAGGACAGATCCTGAAGCTGAGGCTCCAATACTTTGGCCACCTCATGAGAAGACTCCCTGGAAAAGACCCTGATGTTGGGAAAGATGGAGGGCCCAAGGAGAAGGGGACGACAGAGGACGAGAAGGTGGGACAGTGTTCTCGAAGCTACCAGTATGAGTTTGACCAAACTGCGGGGGGCAGTGGAAGACAGGAGTGCCTGGCGTGCTCTGGTCCAGGGGGTCACGAAGAGTCGGACACGACTAAACGACTAAACAACAACAACACTTTTAAACAATTTTTTTCAATTAATTGTGGATCATTTCCCAATACTCTTTTACCCTTTTACAAATCCACAGAGCTCCACCCTTTTGCCATACCTGCAATGCCAACCTCGGACGTGCCTGCCAGGCTTAGGTCTTCGAAGCGAGAAGGGTCTATGTTGTACAGCAGGGACGAGCTGGCTTCTGGGGGCATGCCACAACCTTCCTGGAAAGCAACAGGAGAGAGGTGTGACACAGGTGGGTGGGTTGAGTCTACAGAGCTCCCATCAGGTCCAGCCAGCATGCCCAGTGGTCAGAGATGATAGCAGCTGCAATCCAGCAACAACAGGAAGGTGCCAGGTTGAAAGCTGAGGCCCGCTTGCAGCGGGCATCACTTAAAAACACAGCTCAGCAAAGGTGATGCTCAGAGTTTGGTCAGAAAGCTAGGCCTAAAATGCTCTGTTCTCAAGAGTGGATACCGAGGGGATATTTTGACGTTTCTAATTAGTTGCAGGTCCCTTCTGGACTCTTGGACCGAGACCAGGGCCCTGTGGAACGCCCTCCCATCAGATGTCAAGGAGATAAACATCTACCTGACTTTTAGAAGGCATCTGAAGGCAGCCCTGTTTAGGGAAGCTTTTAATGTTTGATGCATTACGGTATTTTAATATTTTGTTGAAAGCCACCCAGAGTGGCTGGGGAAGCCCAGCCAGATGGGCGGGGTATAAATAAATTATTATTATTATTATTATTATTCTGAACTAGATGGACCAAAGATCTGCCTCCTGCTCTAAGGTTACCAGACGTCCCCGTTTCCCAGGGACAGTCCCCGGATTTACAGATCAGTCTCCTGACAAAATCTGATCATTCCTATTGAAGTTGAAAAGTGTCCCCGGATTCACTGAAAAAAATAAACCATACCATGAATATTTGGGGGGGGGGGTGAGGCTACTTACAAAGACAGCTCCTTTCAGCAGATCTGGAACAGTCATGGGGATAAAGCCCTGTGGGGGGAGAAGGAAGAGGGTGAAGAGCTGTGGGAACCATCTTTGGGTGCCCGGCTCCCAGGGACCCCCTAAGAAGGTAAAGGTAAAGGGACCCCTGACCATTAGGTCCAGTCGTGGCCGACTCTGGGGTTGCGGCACTCATCTCGCTTTACTGGCCGAGGGAGCCGGCATACAGCTTCCGGGTCATGTGGCCAGCATGACTAAGCCACTTCTGGCGAACCAGAGCAGCACACGGAAAAGCCGTTTACCTTCCCGCCGGAGTGGTACCTATTTATCTACTTGCACTTTGACGTGCTTTCGAACTGCTAGTTTGGCAGAAGCAGGGACCGAGCAACAGGAGCTCACCCCGCCGCGGGGATTTGAACCACCGACCTTCTGATCGGCAAGCCCTAGGCTCTGTGGTTTAACCCACAGCGCCACCTGCGTCCCGCCACTCACCCCCTAAGAAGGTATCGGCAAAAGGAGGAATTGCCCCCTCCTGCCCTAAAGAGAGAGGGCAAGACAAGGGGAAGGTCAAGAACAGGACACTGCCCCATGCCTGGTTCTCACATCTTCTGTCCTGGCGCAGAGAAGAGGTCGTGGAAGAGAGGCTTTTGCCCGCAGCTGGGCCGGTGGTGAGATGATGGGACATTTTGGGAAACAACTCTGGACAAGACAGAATTTAGTCTGATCAAGCACGACACTTTCTGCGTTATTCAGTTCACGTTTTTAGAATTACTAACCCATATGGGTTATGCCTCGACTGTTAAGAGATCCCAAGAAGGAACAACTGGTTTGTAAATATATGACATTTTAGAGGAAGGAATCAAAGAATCCTAAGAGTTGAAGTAAAGGTAAAGGTAAAGGTACCCCTGCCCGTACGGGCCAGTCTTGACAGACTCTGGGGTTGTGCGCCCATCTCACTCAAGAGGCCGGGAGCCAGCGCTGTCCGCAGACACTTCCGGGTCACGTGTCCAGCGTGACAAAGCCGCATCTGGCGAGCCAGAGCCGCACACAGAAACACCGTTTACCTTCCCACTAGTAAGCGGTCCCTATTTATCTACTTGCACCCGGGAGTGCTTTCGAACTGCTAGGTTGGCAGGCGCTGGTACCGAGCAACGGGAGCACACCCTGCTGCGGGGATTCGAACCGCCGACCTTTCGATCGGCAAGTCCTAGGCGCTGAGGCTTTTACCCACAGCGCCACCCGCGTCCCAGTTGAATGGGATCACCAAAGTCATCTAGTCCAGCCCCCTGCAATGCAGGAATCTCAGCTAAAAGCATCCATGGCAGATGGCCACCCAACCTCTACTTAAAAACCTCCAAAGAGAGTCTGTTTCACATCTGAACAGCTCTGACTGTCAGAAAGTTTTTCTGTATGTTTGGTCGGAATCTCCTCTCTTGCAACTTGAAGCCATTGCTTCAAGTTCTACTCTCCAGAGCAGGAGAAAACAAGCTTGTTCCCTCTGCCATGTGAGAGCCCTTGAGATATTTGGCTATCCTATCTTCTCTCAGTCTCTTCTCCAGGCTAAACATACCCAGCTCCTTCAACCATTCCTCATCAGGCTTGGTTTCCAGACCATTGATCACTTTGGTTGCCCTTCTCTGCCCACCTTCCAGCTTGTCAACATCCTTCTTAAATTGTGCCGTCCAGAAACTGGACACAGTATTCCAAGTGTGCTCTGACCAAGGCAGAATAGAGTGGTCCTATTACCGTATTTTTCGCTCTACAGGACGCACCCGACCATAGGGTGCACCTTGTTTTAGAGGGGAGAACAAGAAAAAAAATATTCTCCCGACTCCTCTCGCGCACCGACTCCTCTCGCTCTCCAGGCTTCAGCGAAAGCAACGCAAAGCCTCCGGAGCACGGAGAGAGCGCTCCCTCTGCGCTTTGAAGGCTTCGCATTGCTATCGCTGAAGCCAAGGAGCCTGCATTCGCTCCACAGGACGCACACACATTTACCCTTAATTTTTGGAGGGGAAAAGTGCGTCCTATAGAACAAAAAATACGGTACTTCCCTTGATCTGGACACTATACTTCTGGTGATGCAGCCTAGAATAGCATTCGCTTTTTCTTTTTTTTTGCTGCTGCATCACACTGCTGATTTATGTTCAGCTTGTGGCCCACCAAAACCCCTAGATCCTTTTCACATGTTCAGCTAGTAAGCCATGCACAGTGGCACCTCGGGTTAAGAACGTAATTAGTTCTGGAGGTCTGTTCTTAACCTGAAACTGTTCTTAACCTAAAGCACCACTTTAGCTAATGGGGCCTCCCGCTGCCGCTGCGCCGTCAGAGCACGATTCCTGTTCTCACCCTGAAGCAAAGTTCTTAACCTGAAGCACTATTTCTGGGTTAGCGGAGTCTGTAACCTGAAGCGTATGTAACCCGAGGCACCACTGTACTGTAAAGGCTGGGAGACCTGGCAGGCTGATTTGCAGTAAGTCCACACCTTTTTTTAAAATAAAGCATTAGAACCAATCACTTCGATTTTGAAGTCCTTCTTTGACATCCCTGCACCCACCCGCTTACCCCCAAAAGCCCTACTCTGGGCCAGCAGATCAGGACACTCTGCTCCACAGGGTACCCCCCCAAAAAAAACCACACCATTCGGTACCTTTTTCACCAGCTTGTTGTAAGTGAACTGCACCAAGGCTTGCTGCAACATTGCTCCTGCCCCACGGAGGTAGAAGGACCGGTAGCCCGAGATGTGAGACAGGCGCCTGCGGAACAGAGGGGAGGAAAGAAGAAGGCATTGAGGAGCTTCCCAGGGATGTGGGGCTTGATCTGCTAATGTGGGTTACCCTGCTGTTAGGATATTGATGTTCTGTTCCACCCTAAGAGGAACAGATATGTGGATTGTTGTCTGTCACATGTGTTTACATTCCACCACAGCTTGCTGGGAACTTCCGTTGTGTATAGCTTTTGCTTATGCTTCCTGTTCTTGGACATGAAAGAGAGCAGACATGTTTTTCTTTGTCCTGAACTATGCTGAATAAACTGCTTGTAAATATGCTTTACATATGCCTCTGTCTGCCACTTCTGTTACGTGTTATTTACTCTGCTGATTGAGGCGTGCTCAAGCTTCTGAAGCTGTGTGCTGCTGTTTTGATGCTGTTCCAAGGGCCAGAGTTCGTCCGGCTGCCAGCCAGCGGGCTGGAGCCAGCTGGGGGCCTGCAAATTGCCCCCGTTCCCTTGGACACATCCCAACACCTGCTTGGGGGAGGGCAGGCTGGGCTAGCTGGCCTTTTAAGCCCTGTCAACAGCCAAGAGCTTCAGGAGTCACTAGCTACCCCCAGACTGTCACTATTTTGCAGGGAGCCATTCCATCACCAGAAACTTAGGTTTGCGCAAACTGGATTAATGAGCCTTGCTGCAATAAATGTCTAGGCTGGAGCTCTTCCCTGGAGGTGCTGGGGACTGAACTCTCTGATTGCAAGGTAGATTGCTTGACCCTTGAGCTGTGGTCCTTTCCCTGCCATGTGCCCGATATCCAGTTGCACCAAGGAGGACAACGCTCTCCAGGAAACATGGCCCCACGGCCACGTTAAGAGTGCCAATTCCATGACGAACGCATTTAGTCAATGGTAAGCTTCCTTTCGTGACAGGAGAGGCTCTCAGCTTTGGCCCAAGGCTCAGAGGGAGCTTTGTGAAACAGATCAGGGGGGGTGGGGGTGGGGGGAAAGCAGCCTGCTATTGGAAAAGCCCCTCGGGCCAAACAGCTCATCTCAAAGGCCACCCATCAAATATTCATCTCTGTTCAGGAAGGAGAAGGGCTTCCAATCAGCTAATGCAAATTCTGGAAATATCCGCTCAGAGACCAAAGGCACCCTTTGTCCTGCCTGAATCATATTTAGCACCCTGTCCCTCCATCAGGGCATTAGGCAATTTGTCTAAGTCTTGTTAGCTCCCTCGCTCCTCTGCTTGCCTTCGCACATTTGCACTTCCTCCGACGCTTTTTCAGGGAGCTGGTGGCTGCAACAATGGGGCAATTTATTCCAGGCCTCAGAGCCTGTTTACGTGGGGTTGTATCCAGCTAAATTGAAATACTTTATTGTCACTTGTACAACTTGTATACAGTGGTACCTCGCAAGATGAATGCCTCGCAAGACAAAAAACTCGCTAGACAAAAGGGTTTTTTGTTTTTTGAGCTGCTTCACAAGACGATTTTCCCTATGGGCTTGCTTCGCAAGACGGAAACGTCTTGCAAGTTTGTTTCCTTTTTCTTAACACCGTTAATACAGTTGCGACTTGACTTCGAGGAGCAACTCATAGCACACAGTGTGGTAGCCTTTTTTGAGGTTTTTGAAGACTTTGGTGATTTTTGAAGCTTTTCCAAAACTTTTCCGACACCGTGCTTCGCAAGACGAAAAAACTCACGGAACAAATTAATTTCGTCTTGCGAGGCAACACTGTACAGTGAGATTACACAAGCACCCCCCACTCAGCTCTATTAGTCTTAATTCCCCTCGTTTACTAACGCACACCCACCAAACCCGAAAGTCAGTTGCCCTGTTGTTATCTTTTCATTCAGTAGCCTAACAGCCCACGGATAGAAGCTGTTATTTACCCTGTTGGTGTGAGTAATCAGGCTTCTATATCTTCTGGCTGAGGGCAGGAGATCAAGAAAGTGCCGGCCAGCGTGTGAATCATCCCTGAGAATTTTCCTCACTCTCTTGAGGCAACGTTCTTCCGCGATGTCATCCAGCGGATTCACAGGACAGCCCATAATATTTTGTGCTGTATTCACCACCCTCTGTAGGCACTTCCTATCAGTTGATGTCAAACCAGCGTACCACACCGTGATGCCATATGAAAGGACACTTTCTATTGTGGACCGGTAGAAGGAGATAATCAAATGTTGATTGACCTCGTTCTTCCGCAATACTCTGAGGAGATGGAGTCTCTGTTGGGCTTTCTTAACCACCTGGGTTGTATTGATTTTCCAAGTAAGGTCTTCACGGAGATAAACTCCTAGGAATTTAGAGGAAGAGACTCTCTCCACACAGCCCTCCCCGATGTACAGCGGGGCTAGTTCTCCTCTTCCTCCGAAAGTCCAACACCATCTCCTTTGTCTTGCTGATATTAAGGTGCAAGTTGTTCCCTAGGCACCATGTAGATATTTTTTATACAGTGGTGCCTCGCAAGACGAAATTAATCCGTTCCGCGAGTCTCTTCGTCTAGCGGTTTTTTCGTCTTGCGAAGCAACCCTATTAGCGGATTAGCGCTATTAGCGGTTTAGCGGATTAGCAGCTATTAAAGGCTTAGGGGCTTAGCAGCTAAAAGGCTATTAGCAGCTTAGAAAAAGGGGGGGGGAGCGGAAAAAAATCGCAAGACTCGCAAGACGTTTTCGTCTTGCGAAGCAAGCCCATAGGGAAATTCGTCTTGCGAAACAGCTCAAAAGCAGAAAACCCTTTCGTCTAGCGGGTTTTTCGTCTTGCGAGGCATTCGTCTTGCGGGGCACCACTGTATTTTAAAGAGCCACAGCTCAGCGGCAGGGGGTCTGCCTTGTAAGCAGGAGGTTCGAGGTTCAATCAGGGGCAGACCTTGGTAATATGGTGCCCTGTGCAAGGCCAAAATTTGATGCACCCCTCCCAACAACTTTGGGCACATTACTGAGGTTCCAGTGTGTGTGCAAGCACGCTTTAGAAATTTCGCTCAATGCACACAGAGAGAGAAGGGCAAACAATATGGTGCAGGGCAAGACTCTTGGAGGAGGAACTTACCATATTTTTTGCTCTATAAGACTCACTTTTTTCCCTCCTAAAAAGTAAGGGGAAATGTGTGTGCGTCTTATGGAGCGAATGCAGGCTGCGCAGCTATCCCAGAAGCCAGAACAGCAAGAGGGATTGCTGCTTTCACTGCGCAGCGATCCCTCTTGCTGTTCTGGCTTCTGAGATTCAGATTTTTTTCTTCTTGTTTTACTCCTCCAAAAACTAGGTGCGTCTTGTGGTCTGGTGTGTCTTATAGACCGAAAAATACGGTATATAATTGAGAAATGTATGATTTGCGTATGTGTTTGCAAATTACAGTCATACCTCGGGATAAATACGCTAAGTATTTTCGGGTTGCGCTCCGCGGCGACCTGGAAGTAACGGAGCGCGTTACTTCCGGGTTTCACCGCTCGTGCATGCGCAGTCAAAATGACGTCAGGCGCATGTGCGGAAGCGGCGAAACGTGACCCGTGCCCGCGCAGTCGCATCTTACGTTCTGTTCAGGATGCGAACAGGGCTCCGGAACGGATCCCATTTGCATCCCGAGGTACCATTGTACGAGGCAACTCTGAAACTGTCCTTTCCCCTTTACATTGCAAGCCAGTCACTTCTGGCTCAGCACTGTCAGAACAGACAGGAAGCAGATCTCCGAGGCGACAGATTAGAGACATTTCCAGTTCTACCTTTCCCAGATGCCACTGGGATTGAACCTGAGACCTTCTGCACGCTAGGCAGATCCTCTACCATTGAGCCATGATCTTCTCCCTAGGAAGAGGCAGCTGCCTAGTGAATATTAGTGGCGCTGACTGAGGGAAGAAGGGGGAAACTTCCCCCCAAAAAAACTTGATGCGTCCTATGGGCCGGTGCGTCCTATGGGGCGAAAAATACGGTAATTTCCCCCAGACTGTATTGAAAAGTAAACGGCACTCTCTTATTCTCTACCAGCAGATGGAGCTGTTGCTTCATTTCACTGTGCTCAGAAAGGGATTCAGGACTGTCTCCTTTTCTTCCAAACTGTCCCTTTTAAGCCGAATGCCTTGCATGGGAAGGGACGAGACCGCCAATTTCTCATACGCACCTTTGCCTTATGATATCCAGGTCTTCCCCAATTTCCAGGTGCCCTTTCACCTTGAAGTCAAATGCTGTTTAAAAAAAGAAAAGAATAACACAGGGGGATATGAAGATTAAACCAGGAATAATGAAGAATTTAATAGATCCAGGTATTTTTTTAAAAGGCAACACAAGCACAGCCTGGAAAGAAGGAAGTAACGCCCCCTGGTGGTGATGAAAGGAATTTTTTCTCACCTGGCTTTTCACCAACAACCTCCAACACCCGCGCTTGGCTCTCATCTCCAATTGGCTGGGGAAAGGAAGAGGTCAGAGGTTAAAGGCATGGAAGCATCAGAGATATTTCTGCTCCCTATTATTTACTTATTATCCACTTTCTAGCCCACGTTTTCCTCCGAGGAGCTCAAGGTGGTGCCCAGAGCTCCTTTCCTCCCTGTTTTATTCTCACACAACAACCCTGTAAGGAAGGTTAGGCTCCTAAGGTTTTTCCCCTCCCCAGAGAGCTTCATGGCCTAGATAAGGATTTGAACCCCGGACTCCCAGGTCCTGTGGGATGCGGGTGGCGCTGTGGGTTAAACCACAGAGCCTAGGGCTTGCCAATCAGAAGGTTGGCGGTTCGAATCCCCGCGACGGGGTGAGCTCCCATTGCTCGGTCCCTGCTCCTGCCAACCTAGAAGTTTGAAAGCACGTCAAAGTGCAAGTAGATAAATAGGTACCACTCCGGCGGGAAGGTAAACGGCGTTTCCGTGCGCTGCTCTGGTTCGCCAGAAGCAGCTTAGTCATGCTGGCCACATGACCCGGAAGCTGTACACCGGCTCCCTTGGCCAGTAAAGCGAGATGAGCGCCGCAACCCCAGAGCCGGCCACGACTGGACCTAACGGTCAGGGGTCCCTTTACCTTTCCTTTTTCCCTTCCAGGTCCTAGTCTGACTCTAACCGTTACACCACACTAGCTCTGAGGAGCTAACTACCAGGGTCTTTTACATGGAATGGTTACTAGTTTCAGGCAAAGGAGCTTGAAGGGGCCATCAGTTGGTCTGATAATGCCAAGGTTTGATCCCCATAAGGGACAGCTGCATATTCCTGAATGGAAGGGGGGTTGGACTAGATGAGCCCCAGGGTCCCTTCAAATTCTACAATTCTATACTTCTATGAAGCTTCCATGGGCAGGGGTACGTCAAAAGGCTTGGTGCCCATGCCCCCACATCCCTCTCTTCCTGCACACATATTGCCACGACCACAGGACTATATACGGCCTCGGTCCAGTATATCTGAAGGAGTGTCTCCACCCCCATCGTTCTGCCCAGACACTGAGGTCCAGCGCTGAGGGCCTTCTGGCGGTTTCCTCACTGTGAGAAGCAAAGCTACAGGGAACCAGGCAGGGGCCTTCTCGGTGGTGGCACCCACCTTGTGGAATACCTTCCTTTCAGATGTCAAAGAGAACAACAGCTACTAGACTTTTAGAAGACATCTGAAGGCAGTCCTGTTTAGGGAAGCTTTTAATGTTTGATGCGTTACTGTATTTTAATACTTTGTTGGAAGCTGCCCAGAGTGGCTGGGGAAGCCCAGCCAGATGGGCGGGGTATAAATATTAAATTATTATTATTATTACTACTACTACTACTATTCAGTTTACTGTTGCTGGGTGCCACACCACCCGCTCTTCATTTATTTTAATTTTATTTTATTTATTGAATATATATACCGTTCTATACCCATGGGACTCAGGGCTGTTCATAGAATAAAATCCAGATATAAAACCACAAATACATAATAAAAACAAAAACAACCCAATAGCCACTCCCCACCCCCCAAAAAACAACATTTTAAAAGGGCATAGGATGCAAATCAGATCAACCAAAGGCCTGCATAAAAAGGAATGTTTTTGCCTGGTGCCTAAAGGTATATAATGAAGGCGCTTGGCGAACTTCCCTGGGGAGAGCATTCCACAGATGGGGCGCCACTGCAGAGAAGGCCCCGTTCTCGTGTTGCCACCCTCCGGAGCTCTCAGCGATGGGGCACACGAAGGAGGAGGCGGCACATGCTCTTTCCCCAGGGAATACTCTTCAGTAGCTCCTTGTTGTAGTACTGGGTGGGCATAGCCTGAAGCCTCACACATTTAGCAAGCTGGAGGTCTCAAGCTCCTTCCTCTTCTTGATTGGTCACTGGCTACTCAGCCACAGCCATATATCCCTCCCAGCAGGTCAAAGGTGACTAGGGAAACCCCCACCCACAAGCAAGGAAAGGACCGGAACAAAATGTTACTGCATTATCCACGCCTCCCCCTTCTTTTTATCTGCAAAAGAACCTTTGGCTGCATATATCCTTGACCCGGGAAGTCTACCCAGCTGGAGAGCACGGCAGGGCCTCCCTGGCAGTGGCCCCCCATCAAGCTCAATTTGAGTCCCCGAGTGTTCTAGGTTGCTCCTCTCGCATCACACTCTTTTACCACATCTGGATGGGTCCTGTTGGGCAGCCTGAGGGCGCGCTGGTAGTATTTCTCATCCAGCTCCAGCTCCTGCTGGCGCAAAGCATTGAGGCGAAGGCGGAGGTCCCTTCCCTGCTTCCGCAACGCATTGTAGGCAGGGTGCTGAAAGGGAAGGAGAGGAGGAGGAGGATGCTGTCAGACCCAAACAGGCAGGGAAGAAGAAGCAGGACATTTGTTGCTATTTGGATCCCAGGTCCGGTCTTTCAACAGCAATGAGAAAAGGAAGGAAATACATGGGAACTCCCTCAAGAGAATTTGGCGTGATTCCTCAAGAGGCTTTGATTTTAGTGATTCTAAAAAGCTTCCAGGCCAACTGGACAGGAAAAGCCCTTTGCCTCATTTCCACGTGGGCAAAAGAGGTTCCAAATGCAGTTCCAAATGCAAGTGATAATAATAATAATAAATTTTATTTATACCCCGCCCTCCCCAGCCAAGACCGGGCTCAGGGCGACTAACACCAGGTATAAAAACAATTGATTAAAATACAACATTAAAATGCAGCCTCATTTCAGTAGAAACTCAAATCAAAAACTTTTTGGGGATGAAAACGTCAAATCTTCACCAAGGCCAGCTATCCAGACTGGTCCTACGAGGGCCAGAAAAAAGCCAAAGAAGTCCCCAAAGAGGAGTTCCATCACAGAAGGAAAAAGGAAAGAGGGGGAGGGGATCAAGTTGATTCGAAGCCAAAGGCCAGGTGGAACAACTCTGTCTTACAGGCCCTGCGGAAAGAAATCAGATCCTGCAGGGCCCTGGTCTCATGAGACACAGCATTCCACCAGGCCAGAGCCAGTGTTGAAAAGGCCCTGGCTCTGGTTGGGGCTAATCGGACTTCCTTAGGGCCTGGGACTTCTAGGGTGTTGCCATTTATGGACCTTAAGGTCCTCCGTGGGGCATACCGGGAGAGGCGGTCCCGTAGGTACGAGGGTCCTAGGCCGTGAAGTGGTCCCAAACACAGACTTCAAGCCTATGAAAGAGTTCTCAGATTTGGCTAACGTGTCACAACGGTTCTGCTCCAATTTAGAGTTCAGAAGTTGTACCCGTCTATTTAAGAACGGTGCACACAGTTGCTTTGTTGGTTTGCTTCCTGCTCAAGTTTGAGACGTGAGAAGAAGGCGCTACAAAATGGGGAAAAACAGAGTTTGAAGCCAACATTGGAAGCAAGATTGGGGCTTGCTTAAATTCCATCAAAGCTGTCTGTGCATGAGTTTTGCCATGCCTTGGGGGTTTATATTATTTACTGGAAGATGAAATTGCTCATCTGGTATTCAGGGCATACTGTCTCTGGCAGTGGAACTGAAACACAGCCGCCACGGGTAGGAAACAATAAATGGGTTGGAAGCTTGGTTAGTGTTAACACCAGTGCAGTCATATCTCTTGCACCGTTGTTAGCTCCCCAAAAAAGGAAAGTATAATTCTCAAATACTAGAAGGAATATGGCACAAACCTGACAAGATTATATGAGCCAAAAGTTTGGGAGAGAGTTGTCAAATCTGTAGGCAAAGAAATGCCAGAAGTGATTCTTCTCCCTTTGAAGTCCCAGAAAGCACTTGCTCTCTGTTTTAAAGCTACAGGTGTTAAATTGTTAAGGTAGAAGGAAAGGATAAAGAACTTTCTTACCGACTGCAAAGTACTTCTGTCTTGGCTTTTCTGGAAAGGGAAAGAAAGAGCGAGTTAGAATTATTCTCAATATACATATACACATATTCTCTTTCTCTCTCTCTCTCTCCCCCCCCCCATAGCATTTCTGGCTGTAGCACAATAACAAGAAAGGAAACACAAAACCAGAATTTGTGGTAGGCAGCCCTGACCCTCCGGCTTTTCCTTCCTCCTCTTTTATTTATTGAAACATATCTTCTACAGTGGTTCTGAGTTGTTCCATAGGTAAAGGGACCCCTGACCATTAGGTCCAGTCGTGACCGACTCTGGGATTGTGGCGCTCACCTCGCTTTACTGGCAGAGGGAGCCAGCGAACCAGAGCAGCACACGGAAACGCCGTTTACCTTCCCGCCGGAGCAGTACCTATTTATCTACTTGCACTTTGACGTGCTTTCGAACTGCTAGGTTGGCAGGAGCTGGGACCGAGCAACAGGAGCTCACCCCACTGCGGGGATTCGAACCGCCGACCTTCTGATTGGCAAGTCCTAGGCTCTGTGGTTCAGACCACAGCACCACCCGCGCCCCTTTTAGTTGCTCCATAATAGTTGCTATAATGTGGACTCACCACAATATTCCCCACTTCTTCAGCCACCTTCTCTTTCTCAGCTTCAAGTACTGCAATTTCTTCTTGCACCTCGACTAATCTCTGCCAAGTGGCAACCTAGTAGGCATCGGGGGAAAAAGAAGAAAAATATGATACAGCCTAACAGCAGTTTAATAAGATTATTCAAAAACAGATCGTATGCACAGAAGACGGTAGTACTGGAAGTGGAGAGTGAAAAACAATGGAAGGAAAATGTATGGAGCTTCAGTTACGTTAAGCTGCTAAGGCAAGAACCTGGAAACAGTTCCCTTGGCACACAGATGCTTGAGAGCCATAGAACTGTTACCTTTTACCCTGGCATGGCTTCACAGCCTTTATTTAGACACTCATGACCAGGCTGTTACTAATCTTGCCAGCCAGGTGGAACCTGAAACTTGAATGCATCATTTTTAAAGCCAGGGCAAAGCGGCTTGCATACACAATGTTAGCCACCTAGGAGGGCAGTAATAATAATAATAATAATAATAATAATAATAATAATAATAATAGTATTTTTTTATTTATATCTGGCCCTCCCCGGCCAGAGCCGGGCTCAGAGCGGCTAACATCAATAAAATTTCAGTAATAAACGCTAGCTGGTGAAGGCTGGATTAAACCCCTGGCGCTTAAAGCACCTTCTGGGGCTAAGCCCGCAGGAGAGCGGGAGCAACAGCACTTGCGCGCCCAGCCGAGCCCACCCACGGCCCGCGCTTACAATCTCGCGCAGGTCCCGCGGCCCGAGAGGCCCCTTGCGCGTCTCCAGCTCCCGCTCGGCCTCGCCCAGCTGCGCGCTCAGCGCCTCCAAGTTCAGCTGCGGGCGCGCCGTCCAGCCGCCCCGCGCGTGCTCGTACAGCCGGCTTCTCCCAGCAGCTGCTGCCGCCGCCGGGCGGCCGCTCCGCACCCTCGAGAACAGCAGCGGAAGCCCCCGGCGCAACCATCGCGGGCGCAACCCCAGGCCCCGGCACAGCCTCATGGGCGCCGCCATGATGGTCGGTCATGTGACACGCGATCGCCGGCCAATGACAGAGCGCCTCCGTCGCGGGCGGACCAATCAGAGGCGCAGCTAGGCCCGCCCAAGCTCGATTTGGTTGCCATGGGGAAGGTTAGGTTTCGCCTTTAAGGCAGGATTATAGAATATTAAGGGTTGGAAGGGATCTTGGGGTCATCTAGGCCAGTGTTTTTCAACCTTTTTTGGGCAAAGGCACACTTGTTTCATGAAAAAAAATCACGAGGCACACCACCATTAGAAAATGTTAAAAAATTTAACTCTGTGCCTATATTGACTATATATAAAGTAATTCTCTTGAATAGGAATCAAATAAACACAAAGAAAGTATTTTATAATTACTTTATTATGAAATAGTAAGTAAACAGAAATGTGAAAAATTATAAAATACTTTATTTTTAAATCTTTCGAATTTTTCAATTTTTCCCACGGCACACCAGGCAACATCTCGCGGCACACTAATGTGCCGCGGAATAGTGGTAGAAAAACACTGATCTAGGCCAACCCCCTGCAATTCAGGAATCTCAGCTAAAGCCTATGTTTATTTTTATGTCATGTTCAAATAAAATTCGGAGACCAAAGTTTCAAACAAGAACAGTACATGGTGGACACTTGTTACACAGAAATTTTCCCAGGCAACTTGCAAAATTTAAGCACAAATAAAAGCACATCATTTTTTTAAAAAAAAAACAATTTACGCAGAAACATGCCCAATTCATTTTTTAGAAAAAATACATGAAGCAACTCCCAATAACAGAAGCAAAAAGCCTCAGTATCACACACATGAGCGGCAAACAACAACATTCAAATGTGTCAGAAGCCTTTGGAAAAATGTATATTTTTAATTGGCGCCACAAAATGCAAAATTTATTATACTTTAAATACCTTTGAAATTGAGTAGGAAACCCTGATTCTGTTTTTTATTTATTAAAGGTGTTTGTTTATCATGCAGCCAAAGGACCAGGGCAGAAATAGAGACAACCCAAGCCAAAAGAGAGAAAAACATACCGTAATTCGAATTTTAATGACAAATAAAACCAGCAAAATCAACAAATTCAGAAGCACAATCTGCCTCCCAGAAGACTGGGCAAAGAGGTGCGCCTTTATTTCAGAGGGAAGGTTTATTCCAAAGGCAAGGGGCCACCACAGAAAAGCCCAGCCCTGGGCACCCGGCCTACAAATCTCACTAGGAGCAGGGACCTCACTAGATATTAAATCCTGTAGCACAGTGGTGTCCAAACTTTTTTCAAAGAGGGCCAAATTTGATGAAGTGAAGGGCCGTGAGGACCAACGAAAGGGCCAACCAAAGAAATAAACTGCCACAGGGGCAGGATTAAACTGACGAGTGGGCCGGATTAGGCCCCCGAAAGAGACTTTGGACATGCCTGCTGTAGCAGAATCATCTCCAAACCCCTCCCCATCTAAACTGCAACCTGTTTGACACAAAACACATAGTATAAAAGTTTCCAAGAAGCTGCCTTATACCAGACCAGATTATTTTTCTTTCAGTCCGTCTAACCCAGTATTGTCTACCTCGACTGGCAGGAGCTATCCAAGATCTTAGGCAAAGAACAGTCATTCTCAGTACCTATGTAATTTTTTAAAATGGAGAATGAACCTGCTGAGGCATTCTGCATTTAATGTATAAATGCAAAATTACAAATTAGCTGGACACCCTATGATCACATAGTTCTAGGATATCCTACGACACAGAGGATATTCCTCTGTTAGAAAAGCTCTCTGTCAGGCCAAGTCCCATGAAAGATAGGGAATCCTACAATGAAGAAGGAGGAGATTGTCCCATCAGCAGTTAGCAGCACCTGTACAGGTCACCTGGTCACAGCCAGCTCATGCACTATGGTGAAATGTACAGGCAGCAACCGTTTCATACCCTCCAACATTCCTCCGGTGAAAATTGGGATGTCCCATTCCATAATGATAATTTTACTATTTATACCCCACACATAAGGTCTGTATAGTTAAAGCTATGGTTTTCCCAGTAGTGTTGTATGGAAGTGAGAGCTGGACCATAAAGAAGGCTGATCGCTGAAGAATTGATGCTTTTGAATTCTGGTGCTGGAGGAGACTCTTGAGAGTCCCATGGACTGCAAGAAGGTCAAACCTATCCATTTTGAAGGAAATCAGCCCTGAGTGCTCACTGGAAGGACAGATCCTGAAGCTGAGACTCCAATACTTTGGCCACCTCATGAGAAGAGAAGACTCCCTGGAAAAGACCCTGATATTGGGAAAGATGGAGGGCACAAGGAGAAGGGGACGACAGAGGACGAGATGGTGGGACAGTGATCTCAAAGCTACCAGCATGAGTTTGACCAAACTGCAGGAGGCAGTGGAAGACAGGAATGACTGGCGTGCTCTGGTCCAGGGGGTTACAAAGAGTCGGACACAACTAAACGACAACAACAACCCCACACATCTTACTGGGTTGCCCCAGCCACTCTGGGCAGCTTCCAACATATATAAAAATAATAATAAAACATTAAACATAAAAAGCCTTCCCAATACAGGATTGCCTTCAGATGACTCGGGGGTCGGATAACACCATACCCTCCAACATTTCTCCAATAAAAAGTGGGACATTCGGGGATCAAATCAGAAACTGAGACAGCTTCTCTAAATCAGGGATGTCCCTGAAAAATAGGGACACATGGAGGGTCTGCCATTTTAGGCACCTCTCGTTCAACCGTGACCATGCATTGTGCTAAACCCAGAAGTGACCCAAAAACATCACAAAAAGGGGTGGAACAGGGCAGGGCAGGATTTTTCAATGCCTTGTTAGCATCCATCTGTCTTGGGAGACAATGGAGGAATACATCTTTGGGCGTGGAGTCAAACTGTTGGAAAGTTGCAGCACTTGCTGTGGCTGCAGAGACCGATATGGGAAAGACATGTTTTGTTGCAGCTGAGGCAGATGAAGGCCACAGATGCACCATGGCGTTTCTTCTCTCTGCCCTCGTCTCAGCAGTCATTCCTCCTCTGGTCGCTGCTATGGATACACCTGACTGTCTCCAGGCCTTTGGTCATCTGCAAGGGATTCTCTCTCGGCGGCATTGGTGTTGCCAGCTTTCATGTGACCCTTTCCAGTACTTCCAGGTCGCCGCAGGATGCAACCTGAAAAGATTTAACCTGAAGCGTCTTTAAACCGAGGTATGACTGTATGGGTACCTGCTGAGAAGATCCGTAAAAAGCAACAGCACTAAAAGGAACTGTGAAAATAAGAAATATGTAGGGGGGTCACCAAATTTTGTCCTCCCTCAGGGTGCTGTATTATCAGAGTCCGCCCCTGTTCGAAGGTAAGTGAAGTGTTTAGTACATAAGAACTTGAGGAAATGCTGGCTGCTGAATCAGATCAAAGGCCGTCCTAATCCAGTATGTTGTTTCCACATCAGCCAACCAGATGCCTCTGGGAAGTCGACAAGCAGAGCATGGAGGCAATTGCCCTGTCCTGTTTTGTGTTCCCTAGCAACTAGTATTCACAGAAATATCGCCTCTGACGCTGGACGCAATGTATCCATAGGTAATGGCTTTCCAGTTAATATTAAAAAGTATGCACAACAGCTTGGAACAGAGACTGCTTCCTGGAAATACAGAGCTGAAGTGGCTACTCAAGCGTTTAGTAGTGGAAAATAAACTTAGAAATCAAATAAATACCGTATTTTTTGCTCTATAAGACTGACTTTTCCCTCCTAAAAAGTAAGGGGAAATGTGTGTGTGTCTTATGGAGCGAATGCAGGCTGCTCAGCTATCCCAGAAGCCAGAACAGCAAGAGGGGTTGCTGCTTTCACTGCACAGCGATCCCTCTTGCTGTTCTGGCTTCTGAGATTCAGAATATTTTTTTCTTGTTTTCGCCCTCCAAAAACTAGGTGCGTCTTGTGGTCTGGTGCGTCTTATAGAGCGAAAAATACGGTACATACAGAGAAATAAAAAAACCAGTGGGTTAAAATTACAGTATTTGCAAACATGCCTTTCCAATACCTAGTTCCTTTTATTTTTATTTTTACCCCCATCGTTGGGCCTCTCTGACTTCTGGCAAACTTTTGCTTCTCTTCCTCAATGACAAGGATTGATATGTTCAAACAGGGAAAAGCAAAGAATGTAAACTATACTCCAGTGAGTATTTTATTTTACTTCTTCGTACTAAACACAAGCAGCCAATCCCAAAAGTCACAGAACGTGACCCCCGTTGAACTACAAATAAAGCGATGTCCTAGGCACTTCAAATCTGGATAGATGCAAATATACAGTGAACACTGGCGACTGGTGGATGAGAGGGTAGGAATGTGGTGGCTCTTTTCTTTGAAGAATTCCTTAAGAGTTTCCCAGAACAACGTACAATGTGGGGTTTCCACTTAGTGGCTTCCTGAAAGGAAGGTGTGGTAAATTTAGATAATATCATTTACTGGAATGGCTTTTGCCGGTGTGCAGACTTCCAAGTTACACAGAACTCCTCACTGAGCAAAACAGAAATACAGTGGTACCTCAGGTTAAGTACTTAATTCGTTCCGGAGGTCCGTACTTAACCTGAAACTGTTCTTAACCTGAAGCATCACTTTAGCTAATGGAGCCTCCTGCTGCTGCAGCGCTGCTGGAGCACAATTTCTGTTCTCATCCTGAAGCAAAGTTCTTAACCTGAAGCACTATTTCTAGGTTAGCGGAGTCTGTAACCTGAAGCGTATGTAACCTGAAGAGTCTGTAACCCGAGGAACCACTGTATGGCACATTCTCATGAACATAGTTGGGAATTTCTCTTGAGGCTGCCTGTGACCACTAACATTTAGGGTTCACCCACACTGTCATTTAACATGAATTGTAAGCTTCCTATAACTCAGTTAATTACGTAATTTGCCCTTGTCCATAGGACATCTTCCTTTAAACCCCTCCCTCCCCATAGGGGCACTCTTTAATGGAGAGGGTATGAGAAAATATGGATAAAAGGAGAAGAAAATATGGGAAGGCAGGGATTTGGGTAACAGATTAA